GACTTTAAGTTTGTTTCCAAATATAATTCTGCGATGTTCAGAATTACTTCTAAATTGAAACTCTGTGAAAATAGTATCATTGACTATGATATGCTTGAAAAAACACAACGTTTCATGCTTCCTATATAATCGTGTAACAGAAAAAGGTGGAGACAACCCAAGTCGCATATCCTCTTTATCTTTCTTCATTTTAATATTATTTAAAAGTACATACGCTAAGAGCCTGAAAGCATATTACCCACAGTTTTCATTGCACAAGATTTTATTCCTACAAATGGCATACGGACTGAAAAGCAATATGCATGAGCGTGAAGTACATAGATTATTCTACATCTAATATATAATAGCAATATGCATCAGTGGAAAAAGTTGGGGTATGCATTGATATTGAAACAGCTATATTCATTAGTGAAAGTTAATTTTGTTTTTACACTATCATGTCCATTTAAAGTTCATCCAATTAATTATAATATTATATAACAAAGCATTAATTTAACAATAAATTAATGTATAGTCTATAAGTTATGTATTAATACAACATCATGTAAATAACTTATACATGTAAATAAATTTGTTGTAGTTGTATTATTCATATGTGTAGTGTACTCATAGTTGTATTATTTTTAGCTATGTAATTGTTTGTATCATAATCAGAGTTTGCTCAAAATTGCATATAAGGTCGTTATTAAATTATTGATTTAACTTTCTTTCATTTTCTCTGAAAATACTAATGTTTATTCGTATATTTTGTATGTCAAACCATGGGAAGCAAATATGGATATCCCACAAAGAAAACTTGGATCAAAGTTCAATTGTAAAAATATTTGTTTAATTGATTCATGTACGACACATATGATATTCAAAGAGAAGAAATATTTCTCTCATTTAAGTATGTGTAAGGCACATGTTACTATAATTTCTGGTAGTAGTAATCTAATTGAAGGCTCTGGAAGAGCTACTATAACTCTGCCTAAGGGAGCAATGCTTATAATAGATAATGCAATGTTCTCCTTCAAGTCCAAAAGGAACTTGTTGAGTTTTAAAGATATCCGCCGAAATGGATATCATGTTGAGACAATAGATGACAATAATCTTGAATATCTCATCATTACCAAGAATGTCTCTGGCCAAAAGAGCGTTATTGAGAAGTTCACAACTTTATCTTGTGGCGTGTATTGGACAAGAATTAGTGCAATTGAGGCACATTCTATTGTAAACCAAAAGGTAACTAATTTCAATACTTTTGTACTTTGGCATGATCTATTGGGACACCCTGGATCAATTATGATGAGACGGATTATAGTAAACTCAAATGGGCATCCATTAAAGAATTTATAATTTTTTTTAAATAATGAATTTTCTTGTACTTCTTGTTATCAAGGCAAGTTAATTATTAGACCATCACCAACAAAGGTTGGGATTGAGTCCCCTGCGTTTTTGAACGTATACAAGGGGACATTTATGGACCTATTAACACACCTAGTGGGTCGTTTAGATATTTTATGGTCTTAATAGATGCATCTTCTAGATGGTCTCATGTGTGCCTATTGTCATCTCGCAACCTCGCGTTTGCAAAATTAATGACACAAATAATTCGATTACGGGCGCAATTTCCCGATAATCCAATTAAGTCTATTAGACTTGATAATGCTGCTGAGTTTTCATCCCAAGCATTTAATGATTATTGCTTATCAATTGGGATAAAAGTGGAACATCCTGTAGCTCATGTTCACACTCAAAATGGCCTTGCGGAGTCTTTAATTAAATATCTGTAATTGATAGCAAGCCGTTACTCATGAAAACGAGGTTTCCCAATTCTGTTTGGGGTCACGCCATTTTGCATGCAGCAATGCTAGTTCGTCTCAGACCGACAAATTATCATAAATATTTTCCGTTGCAATTAGTTTTGGGTCATGAACCTAATATATCCCATTTAAGAATTTTTGGATGCACAGTATATGTGCCTGTAGCACCACCATATCGCACCAAAATGGGTCCCCAAAGAAGGTTAGGAATATACGTTGGGTTTGAATCGCCCTCCATTATTCGCTACCTCGAAACATTGACGGGGGATTTGTTTACTGCACGATTTGCAGATTGTCGATTCGATGAGACACTCTTCCCAAAATTAGGGGGAGAAGTTGGTGAAACCAAACGGGAAATTTTGTGGAAAAATCCATCATTATCTCATCTTGATCCACACGCCTCAATTTGTGAAAAAGAGGTGCAAAAGATTATTCATTTGCAGAGAATAGCAAATCAAATGCCAGACGCATTTACAGATTTGAAAAGGATAACAAAATCACATATCCCTGCAGAGAATGTTCCAATCCGTATTGATGTCCCTATTGGACAATCATCTAGTGTCATAGCTAATGAGTCAAAAGCACGCCTAAAACGTGGCAGACCATTAGGTTCCAAAGATCGAAATCCTAGAAAAAGGAAAACAAACGATCAAAATGAAACTACGAAAGAATCTCATGAAGAAATCCACGATTTAACAAATTCTGAGATTCATGAGGAATCCACTGTGCCCGAGACTCAAGAAAATAAGGAACTATCAATAAATCCAATCGATATTGAGACAAATTTGAATCGAGTGGATATAATGGTGGATTATGTCTTTGCATATAATGTTGCATCTAGCATTATGCAAGAAAGTGAGGATCTTGAACCTCAATCTGTTGGAGAATGTCGACAAAGACTTGATTGGCCAAAATGGCAAGAAGCAATCCAATCAGAGTTGAATTCACTTGCAAAACGTGAAGTTTTTGGGCCTGTAGTCCAAACACCTAATGGTGTTAAGCCTGTTGGCTATAAATGGGTCTTTGTACGCAAGAGAAATGAGAAAAACGAGGTACAAAGATATAAGGCACGCCTTGTTGCACAAGGATTTTCACAAAGGCCTGGTGTCGATTATGAAGAGACATATTCACCCGTTATGGATGCTATAACGTTCCGTTATCTCATTAGTTTTGCTGTCCATGAAAAGCTTGACATGCATTTAATGGATGTGGTTACCGCCTACCTTTATGGCTCACTTGATAATGAGATATACATGAAAATTCCCGATGGATTTAAAATGCCAAACGCACATAATTCAAAGTCCCGGGAAATGTTTTCAATCAAATTGCAAAGATCTTTGTATGGTCTAAAGCAATCAGGACGAATGTGGTATAATCGTCTTAGTGAGTATTTATTAAAGGAAGGCTATATAAATGATGCCATTTGCCCATGTGTTTTTATAAAGAAAACAACATCGGAATTTGTTGTACTTGCCGTATATGTTGATGACATAAACCTTATTGGAACTCCTATAGAACTCCAAAAGGCAATTGATTATTTAAAGAAGGAATTCGAGATGAAAGATCTCGGAAAGACAAAATTATGTCTTGGTTTGCAAATTGAACATTTGGCAAACGGAATTTTTGTTCATCAATCTACCTACATAGAAAAGGTATTGAAACGGTTTTACATGGATGGAGCACATCCATTAAGTACTCCGATGGTTGTTCGATCACTTGATGTGAATAAGGATCCATTCCGACCTCAAGAAGAGAATGAAGAGCTACTTGGTCCTGAAGTACCATATCTTAGTGCAATTGGTGCACTAATGTATCTTGCCAATACTACAAGGCCTGACATAACTTTTTCAGTTAATGTCTTAGCAAGATATAGCTCTGCTCCCACAAGGAAACATTGGAATGGAATTAAACACATATTACGGTATCTAAAAGGGACTACCGATATGGGCTTATTTTATGGCAACAATTGCAGTCCCGATCTTGTTGGTTATGCTGATGCTGGGTATTTATCTGACCCACACAAGGCTCGATCTCAAACAGGTTATGTGTTTACCTGTAGAGGTACTGCCATATCTTGGCGATCGACTAAGCAATCAATTGTGGCTACTTCATCTAATAATGCTGAGATAATTGCTATTCATGAAGCAAGTCGAGAGTGTGTGTGGTTGAGGTCTATAATACATCTTATTCGAGACAAATGTGGTTTGAAATGTGACAAACTACCCACGATTTTGTATGAAGACAATGCAGCATGCATAACCCAATTGAAGGGAGGATTCATAAAAGGAGATAGGACAAAGCATATTTGACCAAAGTTATTTTTCACACATGATCTTCAAAAGAATGATGATATTAATGTGCAACAAATTCGTTCAAGTGATAATATGGCTGATTTGTTAACAAAATCTCTACCGACGTCAACCTTCAAGAAGCTAGTGCACAAGATTGGGATGCGAAAGCTCAAGGATGTGGAATGATGCTCTCATCAGGGGGAGTTTAATGCGCGTTGCACTCTTTTTTCCTTAAAAGGTTTTGTCCCACTGGATTTTCCTTGCAAGGTTTTTAACGAGGCAACCAAATAGCGTACTATTAAACATGTGTACTCTTTTTTCCTTTTCTAGAATTTTTTTCTTATTTTAGTTAAGGTTTTAACGAGGCACATTACTTATTGAGTAAACATTCAAGGGGGAGTGTTATGAATAGAATTGTAATTAGAGTGAATGTCTATCTTTTAGAGAGTTTTACTTTGTGGCTAAGTCATTTTTTCCCTATAAATAGAGGGGCCTTACCCCATTGTAAATCATCCAAAAATTCAATAAGAATTACTCTCTCTTTCTCTGAAATATTGTTCTTCTACTTTTATTGTTTTATTAGAATTTTTAAAATTTTCCACTTCAAAGCACTCTCAAAAGTTCAAAAATAGCTCCAAATTGTATTCATGCCCAAATAGAACCTTAATTTTCAACTTGAATTTTTTCCCCTCTTTTTTATGTAACTTCACAAATCTTATGTCCAAACGCCCACTTAAAGTTGAAAGTTGAAGAAAGAACTGAGAAGGCGCTTATGGCATTAAAACCATATGGTAACATGTTTGTTGTACATTTTCTTTTAAGCCATTAATTACCAAAGACATGGATCTACTTGAAAGTATTGATATACATAAACTTCCAACTGCTAAAGAAAAACATATAAAGATGAGAGAATGAAAAGACAATGTACAAATAAGCAATTTATAGACATAGTTCATTTGAGTTTTATTCTGTTAGAATATTAAGACAGCAAAAGAACAAAGCAGAGTTTACATTTCGAAGAGCAAAGCTGCAAGATTGCTCAACTGAAATCTATTTTGATCATGTCTCTGCGGCAGCATTAGGACACTATTTCTTTTCAGCTGCTCCCAATTATTTCCTTGTACAAATCCTTGATCTTTGATATCAAAGCTTCTCTGTTAACGGCAAAATTTATAAGTAGAGAGGTAAGTAGTGACAAACACAAGGTATGAATAATAAACTTAGCTTCCACTAATTCGTATATCGACGAAATGGTTTTACCTGTCTGGTTTGAAGACCAAGTTCTTGTAAGCAAACCACTGCGGAGGAAGACAGATCCAAGAAAATTAAAGAAGAATATGTGAATTGAGTTCAAAAAAGTTTGGTGGTTGATTGCATAGTTCAAAGCTTTACCAGATTAAAAGTAAGGATTTAACTTATATACACTAACAGTTTAAGACCTTTTTTTTACCTATCATGTAATTATCAGTTATAATAGGTTACTTGACGTAGAAAACTACACTGACATTTAAATACTTGAAAGTTTTTGACACTATAAGTTTATATAAGTTAGAAGACCAAAAGAAAAGGCTACGAGACCCAGAGGAACTAATTGTCGTTGATCATTCAACTATATAGAAAACATAGCATACATTATAGTGACCAAAAGTGACGAATTTTTCAACTTACACCGGTGTATCCAATTCCTACAAGCTCAAGAACACCAGGAATCAGAGGAAGCCTGTCAATTGCCTGCCACAATTAAAGCAAATCCTTTTGTCAAGCCTGTAATAGTTGAACATTTAATATGGAAACCAAAAGGTCCTAAGTTGGCAAATAGTAAGTAGCTAGAATAAAACAGTACCGAGATAGCTCCAGTGGAGCTCCATAGTAGAAGTAGTGCAGCAACACCGAGTGAGCTGACTGCGTACTTATCATCAAGTTTGTCCCACTGCAAGAAGAAATTTGGTTGGTATCAAGCATCAGGCGGAGCAAGTCAAGAACCAAGTGAAGTGAAAAAGCTAGTAATACATTAGTAGGTCCTTACAGCTTCTTGAATTTTTTGGAGAAGCTCAGATGGTAGCTCAGTGGTTGCCATATCAGCTGATGAAGCCTCTGTAGTAGTTGCAACCTCTCCAGTAGACGTTGCCATTGCGACCACATTCCTTGCAATCTTACGACCTGCATCACAGCGCATCCGAGACAAGAAATTACAACGGCACCAATAACTTTTTAGTATGAAGTATAGTGTCAATTACTTCTTCCGTTCTAATTTACATACTTTTTTGCTAAATGTATGACCAATTATATTTCTATAGAGCACACTATGTTAAAATGACATTTTTTTCCTTTTTAGTCTGTTACAAAAAGAATGACACTTTTTTATATTTCGAATCTATTTAACTTTAAACTTCTTATTTTAACCTTAACGACATGTTCTTATAGCAACATAAATGTCATGGAATATTTAGGAGCATAAGTTATAATGGTACTTTTGATATGTGCTATATGTCTTTTTTAATTCATCAAACTCTATGCTCAGTCAAACATGACTATATATTAAAAGTTCACGTGGGTGAACTTGCTCACATTGCTGATCCCACGGAAAAGGAGGAGTGTTGCAGTGAGTTAACAGCCGAGTAAAACTAGTCAATTTTGACAATATAAAACACGATGAAACGTGCTCACCAAGACACACAACACATCTTCAATGGAACGACATGAACAATGATGATTTCGTATTGCCAACCTTAATTTGTTTGCGAGTAAGTAATTGTTTTGTTGTTTTGTAATGTATGATACAAATTACTACCATTTTTACACTATGTGTTCGATCAAATGCCGAGCGTCTATCGAAAACAGCCTCTCTACCTGCTTTAAGTAAGGCTGCGTACACTCTGCCTTTCCCAAACCTCACTTGTGGGAATACACTGGGTAGCATTGTTGTTCTTGTTGTGTTCGATCAAATATAACGGCAAGCGGAACAGAGAGCAATTCAAGACTTGAGCAAAAATCAAGATAAAAGGGGAATGATATTAGTGGGCATCCAAGAAAGGAGTAACTTACAGTAGGCAGTGGTTCTGGCAGCGCGGCTTTGGACGGCAGGTGGGGGAGGGAGGGTGGGTAGGGTGACACATTGGGAGGACGCAGCAGCAGCTGACTGACGAGTTGTCTTGCCGTCGACCAAAGTCGATGAAGAGGAAAGAGAAAGTGAAGGGGAGGTAGTTGAGGCCATTGCTTTGAACTCCCCTTTCAAGTTCCTAAGTTTAGTTCTTGTTGAAAAAAAAAAACTAAGTTAGATTGCTTTTCTTGATAACCAAATAAATGGCCAAGATTAAAATTTTAGAATTTTAAGGAAGAAAATATTTATTGAATTATTCTGTTGATGGTTTTTTCTCAATCTGGGATATTTTTTCTGATTGTCAATCGTGAAATTTAAGATTTCTTGGACCTCTCAAAAGTAATAAGAACCACCCATTTCAGGGATGAACCCTTATCATCATCTGCCATTCTGCCTTGCTCATCATCCATCTGGACAGTAACTAGTCGCTGACATGGCTCTCTGGATAGGGCTTTTATGGTGCTCTTTCATTGGACATTTGGTCTTTGTTATGCCCTTAATAAAGTGCTTCTTTTTTGTTACGTATTCATATAGCACTCGCTTGACTAATTTAAATTTATATTGTGTAGGGTTAATTTAAGATAAAATACTTCCTATTAATATTATTTTTTATTTGCAGGGCTCGAAGTTGAGACATTTGATTTAGGGTTGAAGGATCTTTTTCATCTCAATATCAAGTTTTTATGGTGATAGCACAAAGGAGTTTATATAGTTTAGTGATATTTGTATTAATCGTGTACGCAATAAGTGTTGGTTCAATTTTTGTTATTCATTCCTTACCGCACTATAATACTCCAGCCGTTTCAATTTATGTGATACAGTTCGGATTTCGAGAGCCAAGCGAATTCTTTTTACGGTGATTTTCAGGTGTGTTTAAAATGCTTTAAATTATTAATTATTTTGAGTTATGGTACTTTTATGTAGATGTTTTATTTGCAAATATTTTAAAAGTTTATGGTCAAAATTAAGAACTTTGAAACTTTTTAAATTCTTATACCGCGTGTCCTGACAAATTGGAAAACCCGTTTTTTTCCCTGGATGAAAGTAAGAAGACGGATATTGATAATACTCTATTATAAGTACATTAACAAAAAATGAAGGCAGAAATCTAAGAAGGCCATTGGTTAGATAGCCATCTTATCTTCTATTTTGCCTCATATAGCCCCTGGACCTATCACTTCTATTCCTTTTGTTTTATCTCATTCTACTTGTATACTTTCTCGGTCTCTCCCCCAAATGAGTACAATCCAACATCTAACATTGTGTTCTACTTTGCAAAAGATCATAATTCTTCGCACAAAAAAAAATAACAACGACAACAACAAACCCAGTTTGATTCCAACAAGTGGGGTCTGGGGAGGGTAGTCTGTACGCAGACCTTACCCCTATCTATTTCAGGTAGAGAGGCTGTTTCCAATAGACCCTCTGTCACGACCCGGATTTCCCACCCTCGAGAGTCGTGATGGCGCCTACTAATGGGAGCTAGGCAAGCCAATTTAATCTACCTTTTTGCAACAATTACCAACCATTTAATAAAATCAAACATAATGACATAAAGCGGAAGTCTCAACATATATAATAAACTGAAAGAGATACGGAAGTCTAACAGAATCCTCTACCCAAGAACTGGAGTCACAACCTCACGAACGTCTATAGAATACTACACCCAAAGTCTGAATAAAACACAATATTGTTTGATCCGGTACAAAGGATAACAAATTAAAGTAAAGATAGAAGAGACTGCGGGCCATGCGGACGTCTGCAAGGCTACCTCGAAATCTCTGGAATGAAGTCAGCTCCCAATCAACTACTGTTGTCCGAAAGCTGCTGCTCCGGTACTGTGATCTGTGCAAAAAGATGCATAGAGTGTAGCATCAGCACAACCGACCCCATGTGCTGGTAAGTGCCTAGCCTAACCCCGGTGAAGTAGTGATGAGGCTAAACCAGACTACCAGATAAACCTGTGCAGATATATATACAAGTACAACAAAATAATAGCGGAAAGTAAACAAGAAGTAAGCAGTGTATAAAAAGGGGGGAAAATATGCTATGGGGAGGCAACAATTAAAACAAGAAGTCTAAACTGAAGGATAGAACAGCCAACAGAAACTTAATCTGGAATAAACACACTTAAGCTATAATTTGTTGCGGCACGCAACCCAATCCGATCACATACAATACTGTTGCGGCGTGCAACCCGATCCTCAATCATCACTGTTGCGGCGTGCAACCCGAACCATAAGTATACAGTGTTGTTGCGGCGTGTAACCCGATCCACAATTATATAGTGTTGTTGCGGCGTGCAACCCGATCCTCAATCATCACTGTTACGGCGTGCAACCCGAACCATAAGTATACAGTGTTGTTGCCGCGTGCAACCCGATCCACGAATATATAGTGTTGTTGCGCGCGTGCAACCCGATCCACAAATATATAGTGTTGTTGCGGCGTGCAACCCGATCCATAAATATATAGTGTTGCTGCGGCGTGCAACCCGATCCACGAATATATAGTGTTGTTGCGGCGTGCAACCCGATCCACGAATATATAGTGTTGTTGCGGCGTACAACCTGATCCACGGTTACCACTGTTGCGGCGTGCAACCCGATCCATATATAAATAACACAACCTCACCCAATCAACAATCACAAACAATGGGGGGCGGGGGATAGACAAACAGTAATAGAAATCCCGGCAAGGGAAACACAAGTAAACAGTTAAATCCCGGCAAGGGAGAAACCATCAACTCTTTCTCTTTCTTTCATTTCTTACTTCACGATATCACTTGAGCCCAAGCTCCAAGAAATTTCTTATCTCATATACCGTCACAAATAACAATATAACGACATCCCGGTAAGGGAACAAAACATCGTCTCAAATATCCCGGCAAGGGAATTACTATAACCACACTAGTTCCAACATCTAACTACCACAACTATAACCAAACTTGTTCCAACATCTAACTATGACAGCTATAACCAACCTATTAAAACACTTAACCACCTCAGCTATATCTAACCTATTACCACACTTAACCACCTCATCTATAATTAACCTATTACAACACTTAACCACCTCAGCTATAACTATAGTCATCACACAACACAAGGAAGCATTAACCTAAGCGACCCTAGTATCAGTTAAGGACACAATGCAGAGGAATCACAACTCAACAATAGCCCGCCAAGAGGGCAACATAATGATCTCTTCTTTTTCTCGCTTTTACTTCACAATTTTCTTCACAACTTCAAGCAAATGCTCCAGAGGTTCAATTATCACTTATACTTTCGCAATTCGTTCTACAACTGGAGCCGACGCTCCTCAATGTTCTTAAATCACATTTCTTTCCACAATATTACACAACAACAGAAATACATACCAAAGCATGGATAATACAACGAAGCCATGAAAGTCACAACATCAAACTCACGGTCATGCTTGACACCAACGTATAGATACTCGTCACCATGCCTATACGTCGTACTCGACAAGAAACACATAGCAAATATGATTCAACTCCTAATCCCTCAAGCTAGGGTTAAACCGAACACTTACCTCGCATGCTCCAAACTCAACTCAAGCCTCTAGTATAGCTTTACCCCTCGAATTCACCACCAAACCGCTCGAATGTAGTCACAAATTACTTGAATGTATCAACAAATGCTAATTGAATCAATTTGAATGCATGAAAATAAATTTCCCAAAGTTTTACTCAAAAATTCCCAAAACGCCCCCGGGCCCACGTGGTCAAAACCCGAGTTCGAACCAAAACCCGGTTACCCATTCCCCCACGAACTCAAATATGTAATTTATTTTAAAATCGGACCTCAAATTGAGGTCCAAATCCCCAATTTATAGAAAACCTAGGTTCTACCCAAAAACCCCAATTTCACCCATGAAAATCCTTGATTTTAAGTGAAAAACATTTTAAATGATGTTAAAGATTGAAAGAATTGAGTAAAAATTGACTTACAAATGATTTGGAATGAAGATTGTTCTTGAAAAATCGCCTATGGTATTTGGGTTTTGAAAGAATGGTGAAAAGTGATAAAAATTCGACTAAGTATAAAATTTGCTGGGCCTCGGATATGGGAAATGCGAAGCTGGGTTCGCAATTGCGAACCCTGCAGGCTTGGGAATTGCGATACTTCAGTTCGCATTTGCGAACTCAGGTCTAACTGACAGGTTTCGCATTTGCGAATATTACATCGCATTTGCGATGACCACTACCTCGCATTTGCGAGCCTTCTCCCGCATTTGCGAACACAGAGGGAAAATGGGACTATCGCATTTGCGACTAGAGGATCGCATTTGCGATCTAACAATCTTCGCATTTGCGAACATTTCAATCGCATTTGCGAAAGTCACAGAAGCCAACATACCAGATTTTTCAAAAATGAGAAATGCAATCCGATGCCTATCTAAGACTCACCCGAGCCCTCGGGGCTCCAAACCAATTATGCACACAACCTCAAAAACATCCTACGGACTTATCCGTGCGATCAAATCGCCAAAATTACATCATATACAACGAATTAAACCTCAAAATTCATAATTTCTTCCAAGTTTTCATCAAACATCAAATTTCCATTTCAAGTCCGAAACACGTCAAACGACGTCCGTTTTCAACCAAACTTTACAGAAAGCGCTTAAACCATATATAAGACTTGTACCAGGCGTCGTAACCAAAATACGAGCCCGATACCACAGTCTTTTGATCAAATTTCCTTTCCATTTTCCTTAATTAATTTCAGAAAACTATTTCACACAAAAATTCATTCCTCGGGCTTGGGACCTCGGAATTCGATTCCTGGCATACGCCCGAGTCCCATATTTTTCTACGGACCCTCCGGGACCGCCAAATCACGGGTCCGGGTCCGTTTACCCAAAATGTTGACCAAAGTCAACTTTAATCATATTAATACCAAAATTTATCAATTTTTACACAGAATTCATATTTAAGCTTTCTGGCTACGCGCCCGGACTGCGCACACAAATCGAGGCAAGTAAAAAATGAGGTTTTCGAGGCCTCGGAAGCACGGAATGAAAGAGAAAACAAGTGATGACCCTTTGGGTCGTCACATTCTCGGCTCAGGAAGGGCAAGAAGAAGAAGAGGAAAGCAAGGGAGGAAGAAAGATGGAAGATAAAAAAAAAAAAGGGAAAGGTAAAGGATAAGTGGCACCAAATTATAGCAACAGGGAATACAATACCTGAGGCGAACAAAACCACATAACATAATAAAAATCTAAGAATATGAAGGGACATGCATACTACTAAAACTATCGGTGAA